CCAAACTTTCAGTTTCTCCTTTTTGTTTTCACAGCTGAAGTCAATGACATACTCATCCCCCTCCCTGTCTCCCAAGACACATGAGTGAGTAATACTCACCTACTCTACCCTTGGAGCTGAGTGGTGACCTAATAATGTGAATCCCACCATGGTCTAAATATCCATCATTCTCCCTCACTTCAAGTATTAGAATCTCCCTACCTAACCATATCCATACCAGCTTCTTTTTCCTGTGCTTATTCTGAAAATTAGTCCCAAGGATGTTCATGGAAGGAAAAAATATCTCACCATGACCCTCCCATTCTATAAGATCTTGGTTTTCTGATATCTACAAAAATATCCCAGAACTCTTTTGCTCTAGTCAAAACATTTCCAAATAGTTAATTATGTTTTTCAGGTCTCATTATATATATATATATATATATAAAGTTGTAGATGGACACCGTACCTTTATTTTATTTATATGTGCAGCTGAGGCTTGAACCCAGTACCTCACACATGTCAGACAAGAGGTCTACTGCTGAGCCACAAACCCAGCCTTCAAGTCTCATCTTGTATTCCCTAAATCCATGGAGCCTGCGCTCCTGCCACTTCACAGATTATGACCTCCCATGTAAAGTGGCATGCCTATTTAAGTGCCTGTGCTTTTTCATGTTACTGAGTTTTACTTCAGGAAAAACCCACCTCAGGATATTTCCATTCCAGAGAGCTTATGTTCTCATGTTCTTTTATTTTAATTTTAATTTTTTTATTCATACATGACAGAAGAATGTATTTTGACATATAATACATACATGGAATGTACATATCTTTCCTGTTGTCACTGAAACTCTACTTCCTTCGTGTTACTCTTCCTTTATTCTTTGTCCTCTTTTTATTATATACCAATCCAGAAATTGAACACAGATTTGCCCCCCTTTTTGTAATGYTTAATGTAATTACTGATACATGCATTTGTAGGTGTTCCAAACTATTCTCAATAAAACAAGCATGAARTAATAGAACAACAAAATAGTACTTTAACCAGGAGAACTTTTATGGGGATTTTATAATATTATA